TAAGTTCGGTTTTCTATTTAAATTTAACTGCATGTATTACCCTGTATCCAATATGTCCTTTGCGTTTATGTTAGAAACAAAACCAAAAGAAATGTTGAAAGCAAAGTGCTTAAGGCTTAGCAAAAAAATGCCCTCTGCTCCCGCCCCTTCTAATCAATCGCACATCCCACGCGTTGTCCCCCCCTACTTTCCCCCACTTGTTGGGCCCGTGTAACTGTGTCCTTGTGTTGCTTTAAGAGTGGCTTAGGTGTCCGTGTGTAGGTGTAGTTAGAAAACTAGTGTATGCAATTTTGGTAAGTCCTTGGTTATGGTGGGGTTAAGTGCTTGTCTCTATAGTTAATTATCGTTAGCATTATCGTTAGTATAGGCTATACGTTTACCTCCTCTTAAATACCTGCAGAAAAGTGTATCTAAATATATTTTTGATTAGTAAGTTCTAAACTTGGACTCCAGTGTTTTTGGTTGTTCTTCATGTTCTTTGTTCTTGTTCTTGTGTCAGTGTCGTAAGCTTCATTCACTACTTTGTCTAACCTTGTCCTTGACTAGTATAATATATTTTTGTGTATAGTTTATATAATAAATAAAGAAGTTAGGTTGTATTAGTAGTAATGGTTCGCATAGTGTAATAAACATTCTATAAGAATGCCACCCTCGCATTTTGTACAATAAAAATACATTATGCGCAGGACAAAATCTATTCGCATATATTTATAGATCTGTACGTACCTATAAATGAGTTACGCACAGATTAAGTTTAAGGAACGATCATCGATAAGAGACTTCATTTTCAATTAGTAATGTACAATGCTTATTCTTAGCTTAGCGCTATTCTTAGCTGACTTCAAACCGTTAATTGAAATCCGAAGGAAACGAAGAAACGAACGTAAAAAGCCAATGGGGTCCCTTCGATTTCATGTCTCCGAGCTGGCAGCCAAACAGCCTGAGAATCACCGGGAAGGGTGCCAAGCTCCGAAACGTTCTTTCGGATATCCGCCTATTTGATATGACAGGTGTACGTTACGTTGAGTGTGTGCATGCAAGGAGACGGGGAAAAACACGGTGTGTGATCACGCCAAGTGCGTATTGTAGACCTATTGATTTTGGCAAAATTTGCAAAGAAATGGCCAATTGAATTTTTCTCCATCGAAATGGGGGAAACCTATCCATTTTCGGTTAGTCTGGTGGTTGATCTATGGTTTTTACTTCTAGGAATGCTTTAATTTTTACGAGTTCCAATTTTTACACTTTATGCTCAAGGTACAATTGTCTTCTTCTATTTTTTATTTATGTTAATTATTTTGTTTTTGTTTTATTCTTCATTCATCACATTTCATTTTTAATTTCAATTAAGCGACTTCAACGATCGTTTATATTGTATTTTATTCGTTTATCGATTTATTTTTGATTTGGCTTCGTGGTTGCTCGTTATCACCGCTCTTCAAAATGAAATCGTTAACAACAAAATAAGCGCAAGCAATAAATAAATTTGATTTTGTTCACATTTTTCAACGTTCATGTCACAGCCCTTCATGTGTTTTAGTTTTCATATTTTAGTTTAGAAAATGATTCATACGGGGGGAGGGGACATATGTAAACCATATTAGAATCGGAGGTAAGGGAGTTATGCCAAATTCTCAGTCCTGTGATATGGGATAGGGTGGTGAGTTGGGTTTGTTTGTGACCTAGTCTCTGTCCTGGTATCTGCCAATTCAAATTCAAAAACCGTTGCGTCACGGGCTCGGAAAATAAGAAGAAAATAAAACAAGTTTGGTTGCTTTGTATTTTTGTTCTTTTTTAATTGGATTTCGCTTTTATTTGTTCTGCTTATTTAGGTTTAGTTTAGTTTATTGTGTGTTATGCGTTGGAAATAATAGTTACTATAATTTCGGGGTTTAGTATCTTTCCTCTTGGAATATAATTTGCATATTTTGCCAAAATCAGTATCTCACTAAATTTATTAGTTGCTTGATTCTTTTTGTATATATATGATTTAAAATATTTGGTATAATAGCAGACAATAATAATAATAATAATAATAATCATAATAATCATAATGATAATAATAGTAATAATAACTGTAATAGTAATTTTATATATTCATTTCAATACTTGTGTTCGTATTTTTAATACAGGAGAAATCATAGTTGGTAATCGTAATCATAGTACATGATAATGTTAAATTATTATTATCGTAATAGTTGGACTTTCTCTTTATATTTCATATTATTTATTAAAGTTTTAAGTTCGTTATTTTATGCAATAATTAACTTGAATTTGACTAGATCGATTCATACAAGATCGTAAATACATATAGTGTGTGTGTGTGTGTTCGTATTTGGATGAGTTTGTCAGAAGTAAAATTCTAGCTTAGCATTTTCATTCAAAGCTGTCAAAATTCTTGGGTGTTTCTTGCTGAACTACTTTTAAATAGGCGCTAAAATCAGTTTGATAATTTTGCATATTTGTATATGTACTTGTATATGTATTTGTATTTGTTGTATATAATTATTTATGTATGCAAGTGTCGTTAAATAACTGGGACTCTCGTTCGCTTCCTCTCTGTGTGGGACTTTCATCCGCCTTAAGGTTTCATTCTCTATATTTACAATATTACTCCTGCTGAGACTTAACATTTTGTGTGTTTTTAAAATAGGACCAAACGAATCAGATTAAATCGATTTGACATTGAATATAATTCGCCCTCCTTCCGACTTGCTCCCATATCCTATTTATCCGGAATTCTAATACTGCCCCAGTGACCCGAGTGGCGATTCCCACAACATCGGCGTGGACTGTAACAAAAATTGATATATTTGCAATGCTTGAGAGAGGGGAACCCATAAGATCTGCTCCAAAGAATATGTTTCACTGGTAACAGAATTAACTTTAACTTTGCTAACAATTTTCTCCCATATTTATATATTGTGTTTATCTTTTAAAGTGTATTTGTAATAATTTAATGTTATATCTTTAGTATCAAATATGTCCCGCAGATTGAAGTTCGTCTGCGAGACCCACAGACTAGGCGACTCTAAACTTATAATTTTCACTATACAAACTCTAAATAATTGTTAATTTTTCTCCTTCTCCCCTGCACTCTTTATTTCTTAATCCATTACCTTATTTTTGGCATATTTAGCTGTAGATTTGACTTTTCGGTCCTTCTCCTTTGTTTTCCTTCTTTTGTACAGATTTTGCTGCTAAATGATTAAGTTAATTTAACAGACAATTGAGATAATGCTGGATTAAGATCTCATTATATTTAGTTGGATTTTGAATGAACCAAAAAGAAAGGAATTGAAGTATATGTCCTGCTCTCTGATTGGAATTCAATTTTCAAATAATACTTAATCATTTATTTATATGGGCTTTGGGATAAATAGTTGCTTAATCTGGTTATGGTCAACTTGATCAGTACCTGAATCTGCAACGTATCGGTATCTTTCTCGAAGCTGGTTGTGAAAATAAGGGTTTAAGAATTGAATTGCTTGCTGTCTGTATATCTATTTTGTATATACTCTTGTATATATTTTTATAGTAATACTTTCTTAGCAAAATGTTTGTTATATTTTTCTTTTTCCTTTTTTTCTGTAGCCTATTCGCTCATTTAAATATTTGTTATCTTTTCTTTGTGTTTTTATTTAGGTTTAGTTTTTGTTCTTGCTTTATTATTTTATATATCTATATATATATATGCATGTATATCTGTAAGTACCTGTAGTTGTTTTTGTTGCAAGCAGCTAAGTTTAAGTGTAAAGTTTTTGATTTTATTTAAAATGTATTTTATTATTCTATAAAATCGTTTACGATTTCGTTAATACAATTTTTAAAAACAAATGGTATCGAAACTAACAAATTGAGAATTGTAAACAAGTAGAAGAAGTTCCTCCATCAGAAATCAGAAATTATAGGCCAACATAAAGGATCGCTTTTTATATGGTAATTCATTTATCTTTTCTAGTTGTCCCCTTAAACTTTCTCCCCTTTGATTCTCTTTAATAGTTCTAACAAATTTATATTATAATATTTCTTAAATTAGTACTCATTTATATTTTATAAAAAATGATATATCCGCTTGTCATCCAACGTAGCCTTAAAAGCATGGCGCATATTAGGTGGCTTGCTCTGTCCCGTTTAGTTCTAACTTCCTATATCCGTTTTGTTTTACTTAAAATTAATTAAATTCGAATTTTTGTGTAATTTTTCATCCGCACATATATATATAGATATATGCGTTCTCTTACCCATCCGTTAAATCGTTTGCCTTGTTGCTTACCACTAAATGCTAAAAAGTTGCAGACCTACTTTGTCTTCTTTCTCACCTAGCTTCCTCTATTTTCTTTCTATATTTCAACTCTTCCCAAGAACCTCTGCCCTCTAATTACTCGGTTAACTGCAAAAATCCCTTCCAGTTCATCATCATCATCGGATTAACAAATTCAATTTTAATAGTTGTTCTTTTAGGTTTGGTTTTTAAGTATTTTTTTTTCCTCGGATTTGTTATTTTTATAAATTTTTTTTTCTCAAGTTACTCTTATAAAATGCTTTCTGCACCTATCGTCCTTAATTGTTTTGCTTTTTGTTTTTGTTTTTTCTTTTTTTGTTTATTTATTTGAAAACCCAGATAATTTTGGTCTCTTGCCAGTCAGTTTTTGTCTCAAGTTTTGTGTTTTGTGTAGGGTTGTGTTGTGTGTTGGTGTGCAATGTTACTGCTGTTAACAAAACTATCAATATCAATGTTTGTTCCTTGCTTATATAAATATATATTTTATATTAAATCGATATTTTGGCAAAAAATCTGTCCTTTCTGTTCTTCTCATTTCAATAATTTTGTTTGTCATCATTTTTGTTTGGGTTTCTCTTATTAGTGTGCTGCTCTGCATTCAGTTGAATGTACAATCGGATAAATATATAAATATATTCAATTTTCAGCTCTAATGTGTTTTCTTTTTTTCATTTACATTTTTTTGTTTACTATTTTTTATTTTCTTTTTTTTTACATACGCTTAGCATGTATTCAATTTCTTTAATCGTTTTTTCTTAGCCGGGCTGAAGACCATCTGAAATGAAGGAATGCAGTTGCATGAGTAGGCGCCACTTCTTCTCTTCGCATTGATAAGTTCTACTAGATCCTCGATTTCACGAATTTCAGTCAGAGGCAATATAAATAAGATGAGTATTGAACATACATTTGAATTTGAGAGCACGTAATCGTACTGCGTTACGCATCTTATTCATTTATATTGCCTTTGGTTCAGAGGTCCTCACACAGTAACCGAGAGCTATAACATGCATCGGGTCCTTGACCCTCGGATCACTGCATGAGCACCCCTGATTTAGTAAAACACTTGCTCACCCCATCAATAGTTGCTCGTTTCCCTGTTGCAGCTGCAGTGCGGCGATCGATCCTAGTTCTCCTAGGCCTTTCGCTTTTGCTGCTGCCACATGAATAGTTTCTCGACTAACTCCACCTTGGAGCAGTTGGTATTGGGTGGATCGTTGGACTGCGACTCTGGATCGGTCATGTTGCTGTTGCTATTGTGGGTGTGGTTGTTGATGATGCTGTTGTCGCCGCAGTTGTCGTTGGAGTTTCTGCTGCTGCTCTCGTTGCTGTAGCGGTAGCAGTAGGTACCGCTGCGCCAGCTGGCGAATGTGTAGGGCATGGCGTTGTGGGCGTTATGGGGGTTGTGGGTGGAGCTCTCAGAGGGTAGTGTCGGCCCAAAGCCGCCGCCAAGATGGTTGTAATGTGCTGATGTTGTTGCTGTTGCGGGGGCTGTGGTGACTGCTGCTGTCGGAGGTGCGGCGGAAAATGGTGTAGTAGTTGGCAAAGCTGCTGGGAAGCAGGCTGCTGATGTTGGGGCTCCAGTTTGTTGGTGTGAATTGCGTTTAAGGAACTCCGATTGTTAATAGGGTCGACTGGCATCCTTTGGCCGCTTCAATTGAACTTTCAGTCTTTTCATGCCAATCTGGAAGCCATTCATTGCCTGAATGGCCGCTTGAGCGCTGGCGGGATTATCGAAAGAAACAAAACCTGCGAGGAAAGTAAGCATTTTAGTTTCAACCGAAGAGGGCAAACTGACTGGCGATTACCGAAACATTTGCTCTGGTTTGTAGCACGATCAATGAAGACCTTGGAGCTGATCACATTGCCGAACGGCAGGAACATTTGCATTAACTCGGCGTCACCAAACTCTTGGGGCAAATGGTAGATAAAGAGATTGCAGCCCTCGGGTCCGGATATTGAACATCCTGGGAACATCAGAAAATCTTAAAGGAAGACATTTCAAAGAGAGAAACAAAGTAGAGAACAAATTAAATTTAACAATGAGGGAAATAATAATCGTAAGCTTTATGAGATATGTTTGCTTTTCTGTCTCGATTCGTATTACATTGATTTCGTTTGCTTTGGGTTTGATTGGATCGATTTATTATCGGTGGGTCGTTTTCTGATCTGTGTGGCTGATCTCAACTAAGGCTAGGGCGCAATATAAGTCTGCGGAAAATAGGAAACCAAAACCAAAACCATAAACGACGTAATTTCATATGTATATGTATATGTATGGTCTAGACTATAGAGGTGCCTACTGAATCTGCCGCTCTATTCTTAAGTATCTATCTCAGGACTCTAGGCAGTGGTCCTGACCCCGCCTCAGTTTCCATTTGACAGTTATGTATATGAGGGTATTTTAAATGAAATCCACATCCAAAGAAACTCTTTGTGTATGTGACTAGGGCATGCAGGTAAGTTCTAGAGGATACACAGAGAACAACAGACTACGGCGCAACAGATATCGAGGTGGAGTCAAACGAACTTTACACTGAAGTTAGGTTTATAGTTAGGATATATATAGGTAGTATTCACACACACGAACAGAAATGAATGTGGCACACGCATACACACACACATACAGAGAGGTACAACCACACCCACACACACACACACTGCATTACACGGAGACAATGGATTGCCTATGTCTCAGTTCCTGGCAAAAGGCAAGAAGATGAGCAAAACGAACCGAAAAGAAACATAAAATTTTATGAGCCAATGTCTTGGAAATACGCCGACGCTCTTTATATGATTTTAAGCAGTTTATATGTAATTTTTACGATCGCATAAAATGCCGTTGAATGCAGCCATTAAAAACGATTTACGCCTTGCTCGCCAACCCCGTTCAAAAGGGTTGCAAACCCATCCCGTCCCATCCCGACCGACCGACCATCCATTCTACTTTCGTGAGTGGGTTGCGCTGGGACAAAATGTTTATCAAAATACAATAAGGGCAAACGGAATACAGTATGCAAAGTAATTAATTTTTATGAGCTTTTGTTTTAAATTTAATTTCTTCCGTAACAAAAAAGAAAATTAATTGCTGCTCAGGGCCGGCTCGATAGAAAGATATATCCCTCTTCTTTGTCTGTGTGTAGGGGTGTGTGTAACATGTTTACAATGACAAATAATCGAACAAAATGGAGAATCAGAAGAAACATTTACATTATGTAAACAGGTAGGGTAAGCATTTGCGTTTGTCCGGAATTATTCGATATTTGCAAATGCAAAGTCAAATGCAATATACTTTTACAAGAACGGAAACCAACGTATCGGGAATAGGTAATCGGGAATAGGTAATCGGGATTACGGAGTCGGGAATTAGGAGTTGGATATCGGGGGAGAGGGAGTGATCAACGAAATAATAATGAAAAGCTTACCTTCACGCTGAGTGGGTGCAACCGCCGCTAGGGGAGGTGGTAAAGCTTGTGGAAACTGTCCATAGACGGCGGGAAAGGCTGCGTTATATATAAATAATTTTTGTTTTGGTTTTTACACAAAGTCCGAAACATTTATAAAGACAACACAACAATAATGTATACGTATATGTGTATAACTGATTAATATTCAAAATCGATATCATATGTAAGTAAGTAATCGGCAATCCATGGTACAAATTTCTAAAAACAAAACTAAACACCTTCGGCCAGTCTTAGTAGACGGACTGGAATCAAGAATGGCTGAGAACGGATACGTTTCGTATCAGCGCACTCATCAGGGAAATATCTATGAATGTGGGGGCTGTTCAAGCTACAATTATAATTAGTGTAGTTTACAGATATTGTGAACTATAACGAAATGAAAGGAGTCAAAATACAGCCAACACTCGGGAGGCAGCACATATGGCAAATCAATTAAGAAGCTCAGATAGACACTCAGTTCTTGGTTTATTTGCGAAACGAAGGAGTACGGTTTTTAACAAAGTTCGCTGTGCTCCACTTGCACAAAAAATAATAATAAGGTTTATTTTTAGAAATTAGAGGTTTGTAACACTTTACTAACAATGAATATTTATGGCATGGCACAACAATTATAAATTATTCGGTAAAACAATTATGAATCAGTGGTCTGTTTTTTCTGTCTGTGGTGGCGTTATTCGGAACATGAGGGATGCTATTAATAAAAAATGGTACATAATGGCACATAATGCCGGGCGATGCAGATTATGGGCTTTGGATGAACTGCAGGAAGCAGTTTTCAAATTTGAGGTTTGCTCTGCCTCGGCACCTTCACCGCTTATAGTACTTATACGTAGGCCTAACACTTAATCTGATCTAGCAAGGGGGAACTCACCAACTCCTGGAAATGGTGGCAGACCAGGGAAGGCATGTTGCAGGGTAGCAGCATCGCCGTTTGGCAAACCTTGTGGCGGTATAGTCAAGTGCAGCGGATCTGCAATGATCAGTTCAGTAATCAGTAGAAGAACGTTAGTAGGGGCTCAAGGTAACATGTAAAAGGTAATAGCATCAATGAAAGCAAAGATATTATTATAACAAGATGAATAACGCCAATATTTTGAAATTGCCTAATGGAGGCAAGCGACTAATTTGAGTCGCTCTCGCAAGATAGAGCCTCCAATTAATATAGATAATAAAATCACTGTGCTTTAAAATCATCACTATAAATTCGTATGGCATTACTAATCTTGTCATTTAAAGGTCTTTGACAAAACTTACGTCCTGGGAATGCCGTTTGAGGAATGCCGTTCGTGAAGACACCGTCCGCAGCAGCAGCCGCAGCGGCAGCGGCGGCGGCTCCTCCGGGCTGGCCGTTGGGCGTGTTGGCGCCCATGTTGAAGTTGGGCATGGTCGGCGAGGGAAGCGACGGCGGCTGGCCGGTGCCGTTGAGGCCGTGAGGTATCTGCGTTGCCAGGGCCGCCATCGGGTTCATGTAGGCGGCGGCCGAGCCGGGTGCTGTGGCAGCGGCGGCCATCAGGGCGGCCTGCTGCTGTTGCTGCAGGAGAAGAAGAAAGACAGAGGAAATAGGTAAAAGCTGCTCGGGGGCGAAGGGGGTTCAAGCACTTACCTGAGCGTAGGCGCCGTACGGACTGAACTGATTAAAGACGAACGGGTTCAGGAGGTTCATGTGACCGGCCATTTGCTGCATGCGCCTTATTTGTCGCTCCTTCTCCGTGTCGGCGTATTTGACGACCAGGCTGGAGGATGCACCCTGCAAAGTACGGAAGCGGAGGTGAGTCAAGAAAAGGTTTGTGAGCGAGTGTCGAGTGGCTTGGCATTGCATATTTATAGGCGGCTTTTCCGCTTTGCCGTCTGTGTCTCTCGGGAAAAGGAAATCCTATTAGGGGCCATTATTTTGCGAAGACAGCGCTGCGCACCTGCCTGCCCTGCGCCTGCCCGGTTACTGCCTCGCTTCCTTTGTTCGACGGCAGCTCATTATTATCTTATTACAATTATATACAAAAAAGATATATCAAAATAATTGGCATACGCACACTTCAATTTGCATTTCCTTTCAAAGCAGCTTATGGGCTTCCCCTTTCCCCCTCGTTCTCTACCTGCTCAGCCATTATCTATTGTCGTCTGTCATTGATTTCGAAATAAATACGTTTAACAAAGACCGGGGCCCGGGCCTAGGCCTGGGCTCTTCCATTTTCTTTGCCTGCGATGTCAATTAATTAGCATAATAATGGCAGGCTTCACATTTCGTAACCGTCCTGCCGCCGCTCCACCACTCCGCCGCCCCGAGAGCTATCGACTTACGTATGACAATTTGAATTGAATAGGCATTTCCAATATTCGGTAACATTGTGTTTTTGTATTAATTAAGACTGTTTTTGTAATTGGAAACCTTTTCACTGCTCAAGATGATGATGACGGATGGCGGTGTGGGGTGGGGAGTTTCTCTAGTAGAAAGGAAGGCGGAGGCAGAAGCGCTTTTATGATTTTGCAAATCATTAATCAAAGTAACAAAGATATTGTGTGGCATAATTCCCCTTGACTATGTGTGTGTGTGTGTGAATGCTGTTAATGAGACTAAGGCAGAACAGGTGCTGCATGTACAACGGGTATCTGCCCTACCTTGAACATAATTTTAATTAATGAAATATGAAACTCGAGTTTATGCAAAAGGTCATAAGCAGAGGTTTCGAGAGAAACTATTCCTGTTTACGCTGCCAAAGAGTAGCGATGTTCTGTGGGTTTTAATGAGCTCCCGCGTGGGAGTCCGCGTTCCTAAAGCTTCTATAACACAGAAATTAATTTGAACGGGCTTCAGTTGGACCCAAGACGATGTACGGCTGAGTTAAGTTTGAGGAACGCTCCTGAGGCATCCCTGTGCAATTTCAACTTGAATTGTCTTCCATTGAAAGCGATAAACCTCCATTATCCGAGTCTAATCTGTGGTCCTTATTGTCCCTGCTCTCGGAGAACTATGCAACAGGCCCGACCGAAGGCAGTGACTGTGTTGGAAGCTCATAAATAAATTCATTAACGTCAATTTAATTGTCTAATAATCCCCGGCTCATGTCAGCCCAGCCCATTGCCAATGCTTGATGGCTGATGGCCAAAAAGCTTTTCGGATAAAAAGAACAACATTTTCGTGAGGCTGGCCGGAGGAGTTATGGGGCCTGCAACATGCTGAGAGTTCAGTGCCAGGAGGCAGTCATTCAGTCTCGGTTTGAACGTTTATTATGTGCTCTATATGTGCAGTTGTTTGGCCTGCTCACTTCCGCTTCCGCTTGACGAAGACGACAACGTTGGCGACGCTGCAACGACGACACGAAATTCCCATTCAAGTGAATTGCTGCCGCCAAATGAAATGAAAAATTCAACACCGCACACTGACACATCCTTGCGAGGACTCGATCCAGTTGGCAGCACGCCTAACCAGAACGAATCGTCGTCTTGCCTCAGTGGGAAATGCAACAGGCGGCAGGCAGCATACTGCCAACTAACAAGCCAACTAACTGGAGAGGCTCTGTTTCTGGTCCTGGGCCTGGGCCTGGGCCTGGGTGCTTGGTGCTTGGTTCCTGGTGCCTGCTGCCTGGTGCTGGACTCGTGCCAGGCGGCACTTTTGGCAGCAATCGCATGTTGCATGCCACTTTTCGGGGTGGCACAAACGTGACGCCATTAGACGGGCCAGAGTCCTTAGCCTTTCCTCTGCCCGTCTGCCTGTTCCTCGGCCGAATATTTTTTATTGTTTTTTAATGCGACTCGTTCAGAGTTCTCTGCCTCTCTTCGATTTCAGTCTCGGGTTTTTTACTCCCATTTTTGTTCCTTTTTTTTTGGCAAAGTTTCAGACCGCACGGCGGCCAATTACAATTGAAGGGCTTACAGTGCATTTAAAAAGTAATTTGTCTGCCGCCCCAAAAGCCGCGCACGTATTTGTATATTTCAATGCAAATGCAAATGGAAATGGAAATGTATATGCAGCCAAGACTATCCCAGGGTGAACCTGTCGTATCGGCTCGGGGGCTGGCCCGGGGTAATCACAGTAACCCGTGTTCACTAATGGTTCTACAAGCCGCAAGGGCAGCCGGTGAGCTTGGGGACAGGCACAGGGGCGATGAAATGCAACCAGGACTCACACACACACACACACACATTCTCTGCCACATAATAAACTCGCGCCGGGAAGTATGCAACGGTTACCGAATTCAATCGGCGTTGAGGTCGGTGGGGGCTGCCACTACGTGTCTGGGGACATGTTAACATGGCAGTCGTGCCAAAAATTATTATTCCCGCCTCGCCACGTACACTCCGGCAGTGCCTTTGGCCCTGGCTCTGGCTCTGGCTTTGCATCTGTGCCGCTGACGCTGCTTTTTGCTTGTTGCATACTTTTAGGCATGAGTGTGAGCGGCGATTTGTCAACACCTAAAAGGACAACATATTTCTTCTCGACGCCGCGGCGTAAAAAAGCTGCCAGCAAATGGCCGGCAAATGGATTTAACAAATGAATTATATATATTTTTATTTGCAACTGATTTGCATTTTATAGTCTCACTGTTTCAATTTCACCGGGAGCACAGCTTTTTCTCTGCATGTTTACTTCGACCGATGCTAGTTTTGGCCGCAGCTTGTTTTAATTGCAAAATGAATTGGCCTGGCCGGCCAGGACAGGGCTTAATGAATGGTGCGCAATTTTTATCTATCAATTAAAGCCGGCGACAGCGAAAAGCATTCCAAATGGGAGCACATAAATTCTGACCTAATGGTAATGGACATCTCTTTTATTTTTCACAGTGCCATCTGTGTTGTTCAGTTAAGCCCGAGCGGAAACTGAAGCCGTTCGAAAGTGTAAAATTGATTTAGAGACTGGCTGTTAAGCGCGACGTGTGATGTTGTTATTCCACGGCTACTATTTGCTAACTGACGTCGACCCCATAATTTCATCCGTGTCAGTTTCGGGGGATTTCGCAACGCCATTACTCCTCGGCTCAGCGCTTGGGCTGCGGCACGTTCCGGCAACTGCCGCCGAAACGCCTAATGACGTTTACACGACCAACATAATTACAGTAATAATGTGGCGGAGACTCCGACCTGGCAGCGCCCTGGCCGCCACGATGATGACATTAGCCAGGTGTCAGGCGACAATTTAACGAGCGACAGCGTTGCATACACGTATGCGCGGAAAGGAGTCGGGCCTCTGTGTGCCACATGCAACAGCAGCAGGAGCAGCAGGGACAAAGCACATTCGTCACGAATCGAGGAAGCAGGAGCCACCGCAGCAGCAGCCAGCTCTCTCCGTGCGTGTGTCGGCCAACAATTTTGTATGCTTTTAAATTAGCCAAAGTGTGAAAGTGTCATGTTTCGAAATATGAAATTAACAGAAGCGGAGGCAGAGGCAGGAGCAGGAGTGTTAACAGGAGAAGTGCTCGACGCCAGGACGAACGCGATGCCTCCTCTGTTATGGCGCTGTGTTGTTGGGCAAAAATTAAAAGGAAGTGCACTTCAATTACCGTTCGTTCCCGCCGGTTCTTGTTGCTGCTTCTTTTACGTACTCGAACTCGTTCTTTAAAAATCGGCCAGGGAAACTGGCCGTTCGGCGGGCCTCTTTAATAGATTAACCCATAAAGTGGAGGAAAAAACTTACCGGGACCCTTCATTTGCATGGAAAATTCGTAGCTCAGTTCGATGACAATGACAGTTCTCAACGAGTTTTCCAATTAATTTCCATTTAAAAGACAAACCTGGGCCGAGCCCAAAAAACTCCCGGCGGAGCTCACAACAACGGCAGCCGCTGAGGAGCCAGTAAAAGTGGCAGTAAAACTAATTACGAATTCGTTTTCAGATTTCAATTCCGCTGTCAGCGGCAGCCTGAAGCTGCGCAGAGTCCTGTCAAAACGGTGACTGAAAAGGCTCCCCCTCCCGTGGCTCGATATTCCGCTGGAATACTGGCGGGCACTGGAAACCGCAGCCGAGTAAGTAATCTTTTCCGGCGAATAAATCACACCATCGCCTGTAGAGTCGCCGGGACTGCAGTCGAAATTAGTGTAAATGCCGCGAAGCTACCTAAAAGTATGCTCAGCATTAACAGGGAGCCCGCAAAAAATCCGGAAATTTACGTACTCTGCTAAAAGTTACTTTGTGCCCTCCAAGCCCCAAAAAGTTGCGACGCGCCGTTAACCGCAGTGGGCGTAAAGGGGCGGCAAGGCAATGCATACATTAAACAACTTTTGGCTCATTGCATTCTGGCCCTCTTGGTCCCTCTGGTTCCCTCTCGCTGCCCCTCTGCCTCTCTGCTCCGACAAAGGGCCGCCGGCGAAGCGTAAAATGCGGGCAAGCAAAAAGCACGACCCGGGCAGGAGGGGGCAGGCAGGACGGCGGCAGGAGGACTGTTCTCAGACGACGGCGTTGACAATGCAACTTGGCCGCGGCCAAAATGAAAAACTTATTTAATTTACTTTGCTTTTTGCCACAGCGCCGGCCATTTAATTCAATTACCCGCCGAGAGTTCTTTTCGAGGGCTATTTATGCCGTTTTCCTATGGAGCCTAATAAAGCAATTAACGGGGTAGAAATTTGTCAAAGGCTTCGCGAGCAGATCACCCGCCGGAGAGTCCTTTTGACGGCGAGCAGTCTCTTATGGGCTCGGCAAAGGGATCGATCCCGCTTCGCTTTGTGCGCTCAGCTAAATGGGCAATCAACAGGCTGGAAATTGGCCCGGCGAACTCCGGCAAAGATATGCTCGGAATGTGAAAGAAAAGTTTAA